GAGCCGACAACAAACAACGCCAACGAGTACCACCGGGTCCACGACTCAGACAACTAAAACTACCACTGAGCCGTCGACAACGAAACCAACAACGGCAACGAGTACCACCGGGAACACGACTCAGACAACTAAAACTACCACTGAGCCGACAACAACGGCAACGAGTACCACCGGGTCCACGACTCAGACAACTAAAACTACCACAGAGCCGACAACAACGGCAACGAGTACCACCGGGTCCACAACTCAGACAACTAAAACTGCCACTGAGAGCCGACAACAACGGCAACAAGTACCACCGGGTCCACGACTCTGACAACTAAAACTACCACTGAGCCGTCGACAACGAAAACAACAACAGCAACGGGTACCACCGGGTCCACGACTCAGACAACTAAAACTACCACTGAGCCGACAACAACGCCAACGAGTACCACCGGGTCCACGACTCAGACAACTAAAACTACCACTGAGCCGTCGACAACGAAAACAACAACGGCAACGAGTACCACCGGGTCCACGACTCAGACAACTAAAACTACCACTGAGCCGACAACAACGGCAACGAGTACCACCGGGTCCACGACTCAGACAACTAAAACTACCACAGAGCCAACAACAACGGCAACGAGTACCACCGGGTCCACGACTCAGACAACTAAAACTACCACTGAGCCGTCGACAACGAAAACAACAACGGCAACGAGTACCACCGGGTCCACGACTCAGATAACTAAAACTACCACTGAGCCGTCGACAACGAAAACAACAACGGCAACGAGTACCACCGGGTCCACAACTCAGACAACTAAAACTACCACTGAGCCGACAACAACGGCAACGAGTACCACCGGGTCCACGACTCAGACAACTAAAACTACCACAGAGCCGACAACAACGGCAACGAGTACCACCGGGTCCACGACTCAGACAACTAAAATTACCACAGAGCCGACAACAACGGCAACGAGTACCACCGGGTCCACGACTCAGACAACTAAAACTACCACAGAGCCGACAACAACGGCGACGAGTACCCCCGGGTCCACGACTCAGACAACTAAAATTACCACAGAGCCGACAACAACGGCAACGAGTACCACCGGGTCCACGACTCAGACAACTAAAACTACCACAGAGCCGAAAAACAACAACGGCAACGAGTACCACCGGGTCCACGACTCAGACAACTAAAACTACCACAGAGCCGACAACAACGGCAACGAGTACCCCCGGGTCCACGACTCAGACAACTAAAACTACCACAGCGCCGACAACAACGGCAACAAGTACCACCGGGTCCACGACTCAGACAACTAAAACTACCACAGAGCCGACAACAACGGCGACGAGTACCACCGGGTCCACGACTCAGACAACCAAAATTACCACTGAGCCGTCGACAACGAAAACAACAACGGCAACGAGTACCACCGGGTCCACAACTCAGACAACTAAAACTACCACTGAGCCGACAACAACGGCAACGAGTACCACCGGGTCCACAACTCAGACAACTAAAACTACCACTGAGCCGTCGACAACGAAAACAACAACGGCAACGAGTACCACCGGGTCCACGACTCAGACAACTAAAACTACCACAGAGCCGAACAACAACGGCAACGAGTACCACCGGGTCCACGACTCAGACAACTAAAACTACCACAGAGCCGACAACAACGCCAACGAGTACCACCGGGTCCACGACTCAGACAACTAAAACTACCACTGAGCCGTCGACAACGAAAACAACAACGGCAACGAGTACCACCGGGTCCACAACTCAGACAACTAAAACTACCACTGAGCCGAAAACAACAACGGCAACGAGTACCACCGGGTCCACGACTCAGACAACTAAAACTACCACTGAGCCGTCGACAACGAAAACAACAACGGCAACGAGTACCACCGGGTCCACGACTCAGACAACTAAAACTACCACTGAGCCGACGACAACGAAAACAACAACGGCAACGAGTACCACCGGGTCCACGACTCAGAAAACTAAAACTACCACAGAGCCGACAACAACGGCAACGAGTACCACCGGGTTCACGACTCAGACAACTAAAACTACCACTGAACCGACAACAACGGCAACGAGTACCACCGGGTCCACGACTCAGGCAACTAAAACTACCACAGAGCCGACAACAACGGCAACCAGTACCACCGGGTCCACGACTCAGACAACTAAAACTACCACTGAGCCGTCCACCGAGAAAACAACAACGGCAAAAAGTACCACCAAGCTTACGACGAAGACGACAACCATAAAACCTAAAACTCCAAAAACGACAACCGAAAGACATATTCACCATCATAGGCCTACTAGGCCCGGCCAGTCCATTCTTCCTCTTCCCAATTTGCCTCCCCTGCCGTTGCCTCCTTTCCCTCCTCCATTACCAGCACTACCCCGTCCCCCTCCACTGCCTCCACTACCACGTCCACCCTCACTGCCTCCCCTACCCCGTCCACCTCCACTGCCACCACTACCAGCTTTGCCAGAACTTTCACTTCCCAATCTTCCACCTCTTCCGCAACTACCGCAACTTAATTTACCAACAATAGAAATTTCAGTTCCCAATCTTCCACCTCCGCCACGACTCCCACAACTTAATTTAACGTCAATAGAAATTTCACTTCCTACTCTTCCACCTCCGCCACAGCTTCCACAAATAGAGATTACACTCCCGCGGCTTCCCCCCCTGCCAAATCCTTTTGCAGCTCTTCCAAGCTTCTTTTGGCGATCATTAAACACTACAAATGTTGCCACTCTTTCCTAATAAAGCTTTTATAATTACTTAAATTCAAAATTGTAATATACCTAAACATTAAAAACCTTATTTTTATTACATTTAAATTATAAATTTCTTACCAACTGAAGTATTACTAAAAAAAAAAAAAAAAATCAAATGTGATATGTTTCGTAATAAAACGACTATTCTGAGGTTGGCTACGATCTGTTTAAGCGGTTGTCTTTTCATTACATTATTGGCTTAGATTAGTCAAGTAAGGAACATTTAATATTCAAACATTGTAATCGTTAAAAAACGCAGTCGATATTGATTTCCAATTTTTTGGAAGGCCCTACATAATGATGTATGCAGTGAGCCAATATCTAAAAAAAGGTTCATTTGCAACATTCTTTATTTCACTATCAATAAAACAAATTGATTGAGTTATAACCTTTATACAAAGAATGCTGCTTCTTCCAAAAATATATAAAACTGTGTAAGTTATCTCATTACGCAACATTTAATTGTTGGAATATTTACAATATCACAAATTTTAAATTCCCCGCTATTCGATCATTGGAGTTTGTCGCTGCGAACCCGCTAAGGCCGGCTGCTTTCTTTGTTAGAAGAGTGGATTTAGTAGATTAGGAGGCTACATTCCCAAGGTTATGAGGGTGCATTCTCAAAATAATCTAAAGAGAAGGTTTTAACAACGCAACACTCTACTTGTTTGGAAAGCGTTGTACTCTGCTTACCCGTTTGGAAAAACCTTGTGCCTGTAAGGTTTATGTTAACCATGTTAAAAATAAGCGCCTCTAGCGGACGAGCTTGACTGACAATCGAAGATTACAACCAATGGTGGATGAATTGACTAAGGCCATTTTAAGCCCCATGCACTGCATAAATATACTCAATAGCTATCTCTTTCGCACCTATGAGAAAACACCCTTTCACTCGCACTCGAGACTACCTTACACTTATTCTACCATGGCCTCGGCCATTTCGTTTTTCTCTCCGACCGAATAAAGTTGATAGACCTACAAGTAAGAATTTTTGGGTTAAATAGTGTGGGAAATAGTTAATAAAATAATGAAATCAATTTTATAGTGCATAGCCATTGCATTCGCAAATGAAAACTTAAAAATTAAAATGAATATTCTTAATAAAGCGTATTTACAACACAATCAATTTTTCGCCTTGGTCACCACGTGTTTTAAAATGGCGACTGCTGAAAAAATACGTTTGTTAAATTATGAATAAGATGACAACCTTTTTGTGGTTGCCAGTATAATGCTATAACTTTAGCCCGGGAAAAAAAGAAAACTATATAAGAAAAAGAGAAAACTATAAAAGCGAAACTAACCTTACTCTTACTTTTTTCCTCCAGAATGGCGGACGCAGCTCCAGCCCGTAGTGGTTTCCGTGGCGGATTTGGCTCTCGTGGTGGTCGTGGTGGACGCGGTCGTGGCCGTGGACGCGGCGCCCGTGGTCGTGGCGGCAAGGAGGACTCCAAGGAGTGGGTGCCAGTCACCAAGCTGGGACGTCTGGTCCGTGAGGGCAAGATCAAGACTCTGGAGGAGATCTACCTGTACTCGTTGCCCATCAAAGAGTTCGAGATCATCGACTTCTTCCTGGGCTCCGCTCTGAAGGACGAGGTGCTGAAGATCATGCCCGTCCAGAAGCAGACCCGTGCCGGTCAGCGTACCCGTTTCAAGGCCTTCGTGGCTATCGGCGACAACAACGGCCACATTGGTCTTGGGGTCAAGTGCAGCAAGGAAGTCGCCACCGCTATCCGCGGCGCCATCATCCTGGCTAAGCTGTCCGTGGTGCCCGTGCGCCGTGGCTACTGGGGTAACAAGATCGGCAAGCCCCACACCGTGCCCTGCAAGGTTACCGGCAAGTGCGGCTCCGTCTCCGTGCGCCTGATCCCCGCTCCCCGTGGTACCGGCATCGTCTCGGCCCCCGTGCCCAAGAAGCTGCTCACCATGGCTGGTATCGAGGATTGCTACACCTCGGCCCGTGGCTCCACTGGTACTCTTGGAAACTTCGCCAAGGCCACCTATGCCGCCATCGCCAAGACGTACGCGTACTTGACCCCCGATCTGTGGAAGGAGATGCCCCTGGGATCCACTCCCTACCAAGCATACTCGGACTTCCTGTCCAAGCCCACTCCTCGCCTGCACGCCGATGCCTAAGCGAGCACCAACCGAGGCCAAGCAAACAGATCTTTTTAATAAAGTGAATAACATCAAAATATAAATATAATTTGCTTTATTACTTTGGGTTTAGAGATGTGTATCCATTCTTATGATCAACAGCAATACTGTTCATTAACTACGGATTGTTCTATATTTTCCTGGTGGTCCAATATTAAGCGAGTTGGTCCAGGCTTTTCTATATTGGAAAATAAGATAGTTTCATTAAAAAAAAAGATAACCCACTGTATTAAAAAGGAAAAGACTATTTCTTGCAGCTTAAATTTAATTTATATTTAAAACATTACAATTACGCCTTAACTCCGTAGGCCTCCGGCATCCGTTCGATCGCGTACTTGTGAGCTGCCACGTACATGATGGGCACACCGGGAATCTTTCGGATTCGGTTCTTCAGGTCCTTGTCGTTGGTGGCCACGATGTAACACTTGTGCTGGCGCACCCGTTCTACCAGGCAGTCGTCCGCATAGGTGCCCTTGTGGAGGCAGGGCAGGCGCTCGAATCTGGGATCGGAGATGATGCGCAGGGCCAGTTTGTACTTGTTGCCGAGCTTTTCTAACTCGGCGCGCACGCAGTCAGAGATATAGGGTATGCACTTGGCGTACAGGCAGTCCATCATTCCTTGCACAATGTCCAGTTTATTCTTGATACTAAAGTTTATGAAGTTCGTATCCAGGACAATGTGGTAGGGGGGTCCCAGCTGCGTGTTGTACTGGAAGAAGAGGGCGGAACTCTGCTGGGTGACCTGGTTCACCTTAATCTTGTGCGGATCCTCGGGTTTCTTCCTTTTAACTCGAATCTGTTCCTTAATGCGGGAGTCCGTGGGCTTCATCAGGCGCTTCAGCTGCGCATTCCGCTGTTTCTTCACCTTCTGCGTTTTCTTGTGCTTTCCCTGAATATATTGAAATGAGTTAGATATCAAAATGTATGATATTGTTATTATAATTACCATTATAAGGTGTAATTCTTTAAAAATGTAAACAATTAAAAAAATACACGTGCGGAAATTATTTTGGTGATCAGCTGTTTGAACAGCGATGAGTGTGGTAACCTATCGATTGAATGTAACTATCGTTAAACAACTAATAGTTTTGGTACCCCGAATGTTTCAAACTAATAATATATTAATACAAACTAAGCAAAATAATTTTTTCGTTCAGCGGTGTTTTGTATTTTATTTTTATTAATATAGGTAACAAGTAAACAGGAATAAATTCAACTGAAGCGAATAAATTTTCTGAATCGATACTTTCATGGTTGCATGCTGCCTTACCGATAGTCGCCGCCATTTTCACATGGACTTTTCTTTCCACGTGCACTTACGGATGTCGCTCACTTTTTCAAAAAACTCCGACGAAATGGTAAGTCTGCTCCAGCTACTTTAAGTTCAAGAACATTTGAAATGTTTTAAATAAAATTAAGTGTTGTGCCTCAAATGATGAAACTGATGACGAGACTGAAGGGACATTTTCTCGACGTTGCGTTGTATTTTTCAATGCTTTGTTGAACAACATTTGTTCATTTAAGATGAATCGGCAATCTGATGGCACATTACTTAAATATTTTGACTAAATACTATTTGAAAGTAGTATTTGAGTGCTAACGATATGTAATTCTTACAGTGAAAAATAACGCCAGACAACCATTTGGTTAAATTGAATTCTATGCATGCCATGTGCATGTGAGACACCTCGGGACATGAGGTTCTTGAGGCTCCTCGGGACAACATCTGAAATGTTCAGAAACCTGGGGACATTAAGACTTCTACGGACAATTCCCATTTTTGAGGTAAGATATACTCATCTTTTATTGGTATTTGCTTTTGTGATGAGTTTTTACACAGACCTGTACCGAGAGCTAGACTCGTGTGGAAAAATGTAAACTGATATCAAACAACTACAATATTTACATTAATAATGTCTTTTATGTCTTAATGGTAATAAACTTTTTGTCTTTGTTTTAGGTTACCACGTGGCTGTACTGACCTTTTTTCTCGGGTTGAAGGGTGCCGGTTTGAGGTTATGTTTTGAGAACCTTAAGTACATGGATAAAAAAAGGTAATTATTTCTCCCTCAACTGAATTCCCTACTTTGTAAAATGCTTAAATGATGATTACTTTTAACACCTTTTGCGGTTTCCACCAGAAGGCTTCGGCCTAAAGATGGTCTAAGGCGTCTGATTACAGCATTTACTAAAAGTTTCTGCTTAAAACCATTGCATTTCCAAATACTAATATGTAATTTTTTCTTTCCAGAATAACTTAATTCGACAGTGAACGTTAACATTCCCAGAGAAGTCGATGGGATTCATTTAAAAGGTAGATTTAAAAGGAATTTAAAGAAAAGGAATTAAATGATGATTACCTTAAACACCTTTTGCGGTTTCCACCAGAAAGCTTCGGCTTAAGGATGGTCTAAGGCGTCTGATTGCTTTTCGTAAAACTAAATATATTTATTTTTGTTTTAAGAGAAATTCAATGTCTATTTTATTTCAATTTCAGATTAATGGTGTCCGGAAATGCAGTACAAAGATATGATTGGATGTTGTTATAAACACAAAAATATAAATAAAATGCCAAGAAGCTAAATGTATATTTAATTGAATTTATATTTTTCGATGGGGTGTTGGGCCACATATAAGCAGTAAATTTTTTAAAACCCTACTGCGTTTATTTTTAGATGGCAATTTTAGTTGGATCAACTACAAATTAGTTGAGGTGAAATGCTTTTTTCAACATTAACATGAACCATAAGCAATTAGGATTACAAGCTATTGGCGAAAGTATGCTAATAATAAAAGTAAATACACTAAGTAAACATCAGCGCGGCGTGATGGGGAAACTTAGCGTTAGTTATTGTTAGTATCTCTTGTGGCTTTAATAAACAAATATTTTAAATATCGCGCCTCATTACCATCCCTATTTCACCCCCCAAGATTCGATATCGATAACATGGAAAATGAGACGCGAGATTGCCGGTTTAATCAAACCGTTGTTGCGTATAAATAACAACAAATCCCGAATCTGGAGGCAAACTTACGCAACCCAAGTTGATTTAAACTTGGAAGAGCGTTCCCTAGATCCCAAAGAGTTCGTGGACTTCAAGCGTCATCTGCGACAGCTCAATTTGGCCCACAAAGATGGACACACGTGCTTGCAGTTGGAGTGTCGCCTGTGCGAACGCAACAAGCAGCCGGCAACAAACGCCCAAAAGGGCGCCGATCAGGGGCTGTTAGCTTACGTAAACAAGCGGACGGGTGAGTAATTAAAATAAAAATTGTGAAAGCATTCATTATATAGACATTACCATGCAGGAGCCTTTATCTGCCCCAACTGCGATGTGAAAACCTCACTTTCCAATGCACTGGACGCCTATCAGTTGCCTCCGCCGGCTGGATACAGAAAGGCACCGCAAATAAATTCGATTTATGAATCCCGGTTTCCCCACCTCACTGATGTTACCGCCGAAGCCTGCGAAGCTTTAGGAATCAAGGGTTTAAAAGAGGACCAACTAAACGCCATTGGAGCTCAGTGGGAGCCAGAGCAAAAGTTGATTCACTTCAAATTACGCAATGCCGCGCAAAAAGTGGTGGGCGAGAAGGTTTTGTATCTGGGCGATCGCCGTGAGGAGACCTACCAGGGCAGCTCGAGCTCAGGATTACTAATTCATGGCTTGGGGAACAAGTCCAAAGCAGTACTAGTCAGCAATCTTTTGGACTTCATTGTCCTTGCCACACAGAACATCGATACGCGTAAGTAATTTTATAAAAAGTATATTTTATAATTTATGTTCTCATATTTCATGTTGCTTCAGATTGCGTAGTCTGCCTACCTTACGAGTTAAAGACGCTCCCCCAGGAGTGCCTGCCCGGCTTGGAACGCTTCAAAGAGCTGGTCTTTTGGCTGCACTACGATGCCACTCACAGCTGGGATGCAGCTCGTGCTTTTGCACTGAAGATGGACGAAAGGCGCTGCCTGTTAATCCGACCCACCGAAACAGAACCTGCGCCTCATTTGGCTCTCCGTCGTCGCCTCAATCTGCGGCACATCCTTGCCAAAGCGACGCCAGTGCGACACAAAGCCATCACCACATTTGGGGCGATGCGAAATGATATCCTAAGCGAGCTTCAAAACATCGAAAAGGTGAACGGAGTGAAGTGGAAGCGCTTCCCAGTGCTGAACAAACTACTCAAGGGCCATCGAAGGGGCGAGCTGACCATTCTCACGGGACCCACGGGCAGCGGAAAGACGACATTCATGAGCGAGTACTCCCTCGACTTGGCCATGCAAGGTGTGAATACGCTGTGGGGTTCCTTTGAGATCCGGAATACCCGCTTGGCCGCCACCCTGCTCCGTCAATATGTGGGTTATCCATTGGATGACCGGCTTCAGGAGTTTAACCACTGGGCAGCGGAGTTCGAGCGCCTGCCGCTATACTTCATGACCTTTCATGGGCAGCAACCTCTTAAGCCTGTGCTGGAGGCCATCGAACATGCATCCTATGTACACGATGTAATGCACGTGATCATCGACAACCTGCAGTTTATGATGGGAGTTTCCACATATCGAGGCGACAAGTTCTGGGAGCAAGACTCCATAATCGCAGCCTTTCGTGCCTTTGCTACGAAGCACAATGTTCACGTAACACTGGTCATGCATCCACGCAAGGAGAGGCAGGAGGACGAACTAACCACCAGTTCGGTTTTCGGAACAGCGAAGGCGACTCAAGAGGCGGACAACGTGCTGATCATTCAGGACAAGCGTTTGACTTCTGTGAGGGGCAAGAAGTACCTCCAGATAGCCAAGAATCGGTACTCCGGTGATCTAGGCATTATGCCACTAGAATTCGACAAAGATGGATTAAGCTACTCTTCCCAAATTCAAAGTGCCAAGCGAAAGCGCGAAAAGACGTCCTCAGAGACTTGACTTTTTTAGGCATTTGTAGTACTATACAATATAATTATTCTGTTGCTTATGGCTAGTTTAGGCTTAAGTGAAATCCTTAATAGACCACATCACGTTGAGCTCTGCTTGTAGTTCTTGATGTTCATGATCTTCTTGCCGCACATGGCGCAAATGGCCTTTTTGTAGGCACACGCCTGGCAATAATGGGCTCCCATCTGGTGCACCTTCTGCCGACAAATACTGGAAAGGAAACCGCTTGGATTTTAATGTTCAAATTATTATTATAGGATTTTTTCTCACCGACAAGGCGCCAAAGCGGTTCCGATGGGATTGTAACGCTCGCGGGCCGAAGACAAAGCCTTGTTTTCGTTGATTTTTCGTCCGCCGGCGGGAGCCGTACTTGTTCTCCAGGGATTGGGGGCCGAAGTTTTGGATAATTTGGCTTCGCACTTCTCGCAAACCATTTTCCTTATCAACAATATGTTTTTTATTTACGTTTACAAAAACAGTGTGACCCCATGCTGTTAAGGAGTTGCTATCGATAAGCAAGCAAATCTCTTTTACAAATACCCCATATATTTCCTTAAGATAAGGTACCGATACCGGACCGTAATTTTAATCGAAAACTGTGTTATCGACCATCTCAATTGCAAATTTCGGGCGAAAACCACACAAAATGACAACGGAAAAGGGCGAGCAACTAAGGTAAATTACAATAAATACATATTCAATAAATTCAATAGAATTCTTATTCGTACTGTTTTGCAGGCAACAGCTTATTGCGGCGGTGGTGAAGAAACGCGCGGCGAATGCCCGGGCTCATGAAATTGTGGTGCGGCTTTTGGAGCCCGGTATTCCGGAGCCCGAGTTCCTGTCTCTGGTAAAAATAATGCAAATTAAAAGCAACAAGATAGGATTAAGCATTTTCGATACTTGCAGCTTTGGGAAATCGGACCGCCAAATTATTCCGATATCGTGGATGAGCGAGAAATAAACAAACTGTGTGGTTATCCGCTGTGCTCCAATCCCCTAGAGAAGTTAGTTTATTGTTGGAGCCCAGAGCTTTCATTTTTATTTCTTTAATATCCCATATATTCTAGCATTCCCAAACAAAAGTACTCAATCTCCGCCTCCAAAAACAAGGTTTACGATTTGACCGAACGCAAGAAATTCTGTTCCGGATATTGTTTTAAGGCCTCAGAATATATTAAATCCCAGGTGCCCACATCACCATTATGGCTACGAGATCGGGAGACGAGACCCAACTTCATACTTCTGCCCCGAGGTACTTGACGAGCGATATACATATATAGCTCTCAAAGCGTTTATTTATTTCGTATAATAAGCATTAAGACCATTTTTTCATTACATTACTGGATTTTTGATGTGGGATTATACACCCTAGGGAATATTACTTAAAGAGCTAGCTGATCTTGTTTAGATCATGATTATATTGTCGCGCTCCAGCGTCAATTCAGCTTCGCGCTTGGCATCTTCCTCAGACCACTCGCCGCATTTGCTGAGCACGTCGGTTTCCCGCGGCGGCTCGGTCTAAAGTTCGTTAATATTTGCGTGGTTTGAAATTAGCGAAGAAGACGCGTGGGGATGATATATAAGAATGTTGTACTTTATTTGGCTTTATTCGGTTATGAAAAGTGGCTATACCTCTTTGTCGTGGGCAGCCAGTTTGGTGAACATGTTCGCGTAGAGTTTCTTTTCCTTGTTCTTGCTCTCCTTAAGCTTCTGCTTGCAGATGATCACTTGGTTGGCGGCCGCCTTGTTACCTGGTTCCAGTTTGATGACCTTAAAAGATTACAAAACTGTATAATAAAGCCAATAAATTTGAGGCAATCAAGTTTACCTTTTGGAAGTCCTCCAGGGCATCTTCCAGCTCATTGATGGTTAGATTACATTGACCACGACGATAAAGAGCCTTTACGTTGTTCTCGTCCAATTCCAAAACGGCATTACACTAAATCATAAACAAAAAGCCTGATTAAGTACTGCATTTTAATGGGTTAAATGGAAAAAACGTACCTCCTGCTTTGCCTCGAAGTGATCGTTGGACTTCTGGTGGCACAGGGCAATGTTGCTGTGTGTGGCCACCTTAAGTTTCTTGACCTCCTCATTGGAATCGGAAGTGTTGGGGAGCAGATTCTTGCACTTGGTGTACATCTTGATGGCCAAAACCCAGTTCTCCTTCTTGAAGTAGTTGGTGCCCTTCTCCTTGTACACCTTGGCCTCCGCCAAGCGCTCCTCGTCGCTCAGCTTCCACTCTTCCAGTCCTTTGCCGCAATCGTTGAGCTTCACTGTATACTCTACCGTGGCATTTGGTGGGATCTTAAACTCCTCTTTGCCTTCGGATCCAAATGCATATTTGGCTTGGATTTTGATTCTATTTTAAAGGTTTTTTTTTTTTTTTAGTTTTGATAGCTACACTTGATTAAAAGGTTCTACCTTGAGGTCTCTCCAATGTTCATCTTCTCTAGGGCGATCTCCACTCCCTCGATAATGCCGATGGCCCTCCCCTCGCCATAGTCAAACTCCACATCGCGGTCCTCAAACACGCGGCCCTCGAAAGTTCCCGAAATGTGAGCTGCGTTTAGAAAACCAAATGAGATATAGTAAACCATAGAAATATGATAAACGAACCCTTCACGAAAGCTCCATCGCTGGGAGTACGCTTCTTATCGCTGGCCTCCAAAATGGTGCGGTCAATGCTGCCGTCCTGATTGGGGCTCAGATCCTCGCCTTTCCAGCCAAGCATTTCCAGCTAAGAAGGAAAGTTCAAAGGTTAGCTCTGTCGTATGGTTTCTATATAATTAAGCAAAGTTTTAAAACTTTTAGGGAAGTGAACGAAACCTAAAGAGCAAATTGAAAGGTAACAGTTTTTCTAGAGTTTTCGAAATCGATTTCCTGTTAAAGGGTATCACTAACTGCTTTAACAAATATTCCTTAAAATTAGTGGGTGAAACTTTGTTCTTTTAGTTATGATAATAAGGGGAAACCCAGATACAATCAATCCTACCTCGAAAATCAAAGTGGCGTCCGGAGGAATGGTTGGCGGGCTGCCGGCAGCTCCATAGGCGTAATTGGGAGCACATGTGAGGAAGCAGCGCTCGCCAAGCTTCATGGTGGCCACTCCCATGTCGAAGGCCTTGATTACATTGCCTGGATGAGCCGAAATTTAAAGCATTAGACTGGAATTTTCCTGAAAAAGAGGGCACTAACCTTTGCCGAGGGGAAATTCGAAGGGTTCGTTGCGGCTGACGCTGGAATCGAATTCCGTGCCGTCGGTCAGGCGACCCGTGTAGTGCAGGGACACGGTGCATCCACTGTGAGGGGTCTCGGTGCCCTGGCCCTCCTTCAGGATTTCCTTCAGGACGCCGCCATCTCCGGACAGGTCGATTTTATTTTCTTCCGGCATTTTTCCGCTGTTCAATTCGCACGATTCGGTAAAAAAGTGACCGTTCTTAGATAAAATTTGTTAATGAGACCACTCGAGTACAGCTGCTAAAATAGCGGTAAGCGGATTTCCCAGATTCTATAGAACGGTCCATCATGTCGTTCACCCATGGTTGTGAAATTGGATATAATATTAGCAAAGTCTTAACCGTTTCTTTTGATACCTATTATTCTCTGATTTTTAACTGTAAAAGTTGCTATAATTGGCCAGTAAATCAAAAGGCAAGAGGTAAAATTATATTGAAAAGCATCACAAAATGTTCTAATATCTATGTCTAAGAAGACTTAAAAGACTTGAATACATTATAATTAAGAATAAAACTTATTAATATTAAAATTGTTGTCTTCAACAACAAGAAGCTTCAGCCTTTTAAGAAGAACAAGAGAAAGTTAACAGTAAAAGGGCATTTTTTAAAAATTATACTGCTTATGTTAGATAACAAACGTTAATTTAATTTAACTATACATCTTGAAAATGTTCTGACTTATTAACTTTTCCTACTTGGCAACAATAAGTAATAGCTATGAATGGATATGTCTTTTTCATGGTTAATCCGTTTAAACCCCAATTAATGAAATGAAAGCTTGTTTGTTTCTTATATTACTGTGATGGCTGCGACCTACACACATACTCTCATACAAATGTAAGCTGCCCAGCGGCCTTTAAATGCACGTGCATCCTTATAAATGTGTGCAGTTCGCATCAAATATAATCCTGTTATCGTTTTTGTTATATTTGATTATTTTGCCCTTGGCTTTTGGCAGTGCCATGTTCCATTTTGCGTTCCAGCACGAGCAACAAAATAAATTAATGCACTTAATTTTATTGGTTTCTATAATTCATGCTCGTAAGCCAGCTTTCTATAAGCTCTGCACAGTAGGCCAATTGGGCATTTGGCGATTTCAAGGTCAACTGAGATGATAAAAATGATTAGTGTGCATTTGCTGGCAGATTTAAGCCAACACGCTGTGACGATATTTTCTTGTTGATTTCCGCGTGTGTCTTTATAAATCGGTGCAGCTGACGTTGTCCTACGCTGAATAAAATATTGGCCAGTCATCAACTAGCGCTTCATTCGAGCTTCGGCTTCTAAAAGTCCAGAGTTTGGCACACTTGTCGCTCATTAATTAGAGTTCGCCAGGATGGATGATTACACTGTAAGAATACATCGGAATATTTTAAATTCAAATATGTAAATACTTATAAAATTTCAAGTGGTTTGTATCATAACATTCTTTTGTAATTTTTTGACAATTTTATAACTCTTATTTTCATAATCTTTGAGGTTTACAAAAATGAATTGGTTTTATTTAATCAACGCCTTAGTGGATTAAAGTTCATCAAGCAAATAAAGCTTAACGAATTGTCATTGCCTTAAAGTTTCTCAGATTCATCTGTTTATATCAACAACACGAATCAAGATAATATTGTCTAAAACACTTCATACCTAAATATTTATATAAATAACTGACACCATAGCCAAAAGCTTTGCAGAGTTAGTTATATGTATTTCAAAATCGTTTCTTTCTTTTATACATAAATAAATAATAAAAATGTACATCAATAAAATATTTCAAAGACGTATACGTAATTTTTTTGTTTTATTACGCATACGCCCGATTTTGTGTTTGGCTTGGTTTTATTATCATTGAAGTGCTGAATATTTTACACATCATTTTATTAGCTTATACTTAATTTTTTTGGAGAATATAATTGTTAAATTAAAAATGCATTTTTGACTTAGTCTCCAGCAATTATGATTTGAAATATAAGAATGGTCGACAGAAATATTTCATCGTTTTTTAAAAATAGAATTGTTTAATGTTTTGTAGATTATTTTATTATTTAGGAACGTTTTTATGGCCACTCTGTGCTAGCTTAATAACATATTTTTTGAAACTTATATTTAGTATCTTTTCAGATTTTTCCATTACTTCCCCAAAAAGATACACTTTTTTTTCTGAGTGCCTGATGCCGTGTCCATGTCCAGGCCCATTATTTTTTCAGGTATAGAGACATTGACCAGCGACGGCCGCCCACACGCTCACGCTGCCTCCGTTGGCAGCGAAGTCGGAGTCGACGTCGCTGTGGCTCGTTACTCGACTGTAAACATTCCAGAACAGCTTTCACTCGGCCCGCCAGGAGCCAAAGCACACACAGGTCCTCCGAATCTCGGTGGCTTTCCACTCAGGGAGGGGGCACCGAGGAAAAGTCACTCGAACGCTCGGCGCCGCTCGGCTGGAAGCTTCGTTTTCCGTTTTCCGTTTCGGATCGAGCCACTGTGGATGCTGCGTGGTTCGTGGTCCATGGCCGTGTGAAAAGCTGCGTTGAGCGCATTAAGTCGTTAGGGTACAACCAGACAGGACGCACTTTCTCCGAGCTGCCGCCATTCGCCTGCCTTGGCGTGTGTGTACCGTTTCAGTTCAGCTGCCTGTGCAGAGAGGGAATTTAGCGGGGACGTCCCGACGACACCAAAGTCACCTATCCAATATCAAACTAGAGTTGAGAGCAAAAAAAAGAAACAAAAAACACACACAAATTATATTGACTAGTGCGTGGTGGAAATGAACAATTAAACTCCAATCTCCCTCGGTGGCAGCTTTCGCGCGTACAAGTGTTTGTAAGTGTCTGTGCGTGAGTGTGCGTGTGGGTTTACCAAAACTTCAGCTCGAGTGTGTTCATCAACAAAAAAAAAAAGAAGAAATAAATTAAATTTAAATTCAACAAAAAAAAATTCACAAACAACAACTAAAAATCGCATTAAATAATATCCAATTAAAAATGTTTGCTTAAACGAACCAAGGTAAACAGAACCAGGAAAATTGTTGCTTTCCTCGCATTCCTCTACCCACTCCGCTTTTCCGTTTTTCCACCTTTCCACAATTTCCCACACAGAAACCAATGCACTCGCTCTGGTGCAACAGCTTAAAAGTATGCTACGATTTTCCCACTCAATATTTCGTGTAATTGTTGCGCCTGCTGCTGCTGCTTTTCATGTCCTGCATGTCCTGTAACTGGGGATTTGTTGCCTTTTGCCAAGGAAAATGGCAATTTAAAATTACTTAACGAGCATCCAGTGAGCAGCTCATATGGAAATTTTCTGTGTAAATTCCATATGAAACACCGCAAACTGCCTGGAAATTTATTTGGCCCAACTTGGTTTTATTATTTCCGAAATATTTTCATATGCCAGGGCCAAAGAAGATATCTCGAATTCGGTTAGCTACAAAACCGATTTCATTTACTCGTTAAATTTAGTTTGATTTGTGGTGAGCCACAAAGAAAATAACTGCATTTTGTAGAGTGATAAAATTGTGCAAACCCGAACAACGGAAAAAGCATAAAGTTTCCCCACCGAATTACCAAATCGCCCAACGAAGTGCATTTCAGTTTTTCGGGCTCGTATTTGGCTTATAAACTGTTGCTTCTGACAGTTATCTCCACGAATCGGAGCAATTTTCCCAGGCTGGCGGAGGGAAATCCCAGGCGATTTCCTTCTTTCCCTTTAGTTCCACTCGCTTGCTCGTTTTTTGCCTGGCTTTTTTTTCTTCCTTTCTGTATTATTATTTTTTTTTTGGCTGAGCTTTGACTGATTGTTTTATTGGAATTGAAATCAGAGCGACTTGAGCGCGCTTTTATTACGATTTAAAACGCAAATTTTTGTGGCTGATTGTTTGAAGGGGTTGTTGGCTTTCGATTGCTTTCGGAATCGCTGTTGCTGCGATAATTAAAATTTAATTGTACACAACTTAAATTGCGAATCCATTGTTTCATTTCGGGATTGTTGCCAGTGATTCTTTCTCTTTCTCTCTTTCATTCATATGAAATTGCAGTTTTGTGGTTTTCGGTTCTGGTTCTGGTTTTTGTCCCCCGAAAAACTCTCGTCCTTTCGCTGTCCTTATGCAATTAACATTTGCACTGTTATCAATCAGTTGGCCAAAAAAGAAAAAAAACTTTTCTTTTAGTCATTTCCACCCACATCCTTCGGGTCTCCTTCCCCCAGACTCCTTATCATTCAATTTGGCAAAAGGGAAGAAAACTTTTCTGCCAAACTAACAACTGGCAAGAGCAGCAGCCATACACACACATATAAAGAAAAAAACGCAAAAAAAAAAGAAAACAGAAAACAACCAGAACGCGGCGTGTCTAAGTGGGCGTAAGTGGTCATGTATATGTGCGCTCCTGTGTAAGTGTGCCACATGTGAATGTTCGTATGTGTGTCTGTGCGTTTATGTATATGTGTGCGTCGTGTTGAGTGGCAAGTTGTGTACACACGCAGATTTTTCATCAATCATTTTGCTTGACTACGCCTAGTTCACATTTTAGGGCATGTAGTTTAAAAATTGGGCCGCAGCCCATCGATAGTTGTTGTTTGGCTGATGGGCTGGGGAATTCTGCGGAGCGCGTGTGTTTCCATATTAGATGGTGCCACATGAGATGGTGGCACTCGGAAACATGAGACGAATGAGGCAGCTCGAATGGCGCCTCGAGCGGGAAAAGGCGGACACCCAAGGGTTTTTACTTTAAGGCCTTTAAAGGTTTCGCTCGAAAGAGCAGAGACACATTTTCCGAGGGATGCTAGTAATTTGAAAGCACTGAAATTGTTGTGAAAGGTTGTACATATTATTAAAACATAATTTGTATATCAAAATACTTGTTATTATAAGTATATTAACACAAAGCAAAGTAATTTAAATCAATTAGAAATTGTTTTATTGTTCAATTTGTGATTAGTCCGCTTGTGCTTATTTTCTTTGGTGTTGAGCTCACAACTCAATTAACATAAGTCATTTAACGAATCGAATTTATTACCTTATTTATTAAACGCCCACGGCATACATACAAACGTAATCGCCACTGTCTTTGATGAAGTGAAATATAAATCCAATTTGTGCTTTGTGTGGATCATTTTGCTTTGTTTGATTGATAAATCTAATAACCAAGCAAATTTTCGCGAAACTTATTTAGCGATAGGCTTAATAGAAGGTGACCATAGAATTATTTCTAA